ATTTACTCGCTATAACAGAAACGGGCCTAAACGAATCCATTTGCGACGCGGAAATCATACCTCCCGGGTACACAATATTAAGGTGTGACAGAGCGGATGGGCGAAAACAAGGCGGCGCGTGTTTAGTGGCCACACCGCGTCTCGAGCTGCGAAGAATACCGGTTCCATGCGATGTAAAAATTGACAATCGAGTATTCGAAATAGTAAGCGCTACAGTCTATTTAGGTAATAGGTTTTTGTTTCTAGTTTGTGTAGTATATATACCGCCAAATAGTAGTGAAAATGAATTCTTGTCATTATTCAAAATTATAGAACAGTATTGTACTACTTACAACGAAGTAGTCGTGTTGGGTGATTTTAATTTATATTCCTGTACTACAAGTATAATTAATTACTATGATTATTTTGTAACTTATTGCGGATTCACTCAGAGCAATAAAATATTGAATTGCAATAGCCGTTGCCTAGATCTCGTGTTGACCACTTACGTGGAGGGAGAGTGTGTGTGCGTGCGTGCGGCTGAGGAGCCACTAACCGCGGTAGATGCATACCATCCGCCGTTGCAGGTGTCTGTCAGATCGTGTGGGCATCGGAGTACTAATGCAGGGGCGAGCTATGACTCATTTAGATCGGACGTAAACACACAGAACGGTTGGAATTTTAACAAAGCAGATTTTACATTGTTGTACTCAAAGATTGCTGCAATTGACTGGACTCCTTTATATAACTGCTTTGAATTGGAAATGAGTTTAAATTATTTTTATGATACTTTAATTACAATTATAGATAGCTGTGTACCCAAAAAAAAGCGAAGTCGTATACGCCCTGGATACATTTATCCTGAGTGGTATACGAGTGAGATAATTCGCGACATAAGACGAAAAGCCACTCTTCACAAACAGTATAAGGCTACTGGTTCAAGAGTGGATTACGAGGCGTTTGCTCAGTGTAGAACTCTAGTCAAAAATAGGCTGAAAACGGCACAAGAACAACATAGGCAGCGTGTACAAAATCACATGGCAAGCGACCCAAAATCTTTTTGGAATTATATAAATTCCAAAAGAGGAAATAGGAGCAGGGTAAGAATTTTAAAGGACGGACTGGCCTTGACGGGTGAACAAGCAGCTGATGACTTTGCTAAGTATTTCTACTCTGTCTATACCAAGGAGAAGCCCAGGTTGGATGTGGATAGAGCGATAGTGGAGGCAGGAACAGTCAACGGAGCGGCGCGAATTCATCTCGACAGACTACAATTAGATGACGTAATGTGCGCGCTTCGACGATTGAAACCAAAAAAGTCGTCGGGACCTGATGGTCTGCCACCATACATATTTAAGGATTGTCATAAGATCCTAGCGCAGCCGCTATTGCACATCTTTAATATTGGCCTTGCGTCTGCGGTGTTTCCAGAAAGGTGGAAGATGACCCGGGTCATACCGGTACCGAAGGGAGGTTCGGGTACTACAGTAGAGGAATATAGACCAGTTGCGGTACTGTCAACACCGGCAAAGGTACTGGAATCCGCTGTTCAGAAAAATATATATCTCCAAGTGCGTTCACAACTTTCAGACGCGCAACACGGATTTCGACCTGCAAGAAGTACCACAAGTAATCTTCTAAGCTACGTAATGGAAATGGTACCAACAGTGGACAATGGGGGGCAGATCGACGCCGCATACTTCGACTTCAAAAAAGCTTTCGACTTGGTCGATAATGACATGTTGCTGAAGAAGTTGGCAGGCGTCGGATTCACTCCGCATCTGCTTAACTTCTTTGCAAGTTATATGAGTGACAGGCAGCAATATGTGGAGTATGCAGGACACCAAACGCGACCATATTTTACTAGATCTGGCGTCAGTCAGGGAAGTAACTTGGGTCCTTTGGAGTTTTTATTAATGGTTAACGATCTGCCGAGTGTCATACAAGAGGCCAAGTGTTTGTTATTTGCAGATGACCTGAAATTGTCTCTCGCTGTTGGAAGCGTGGCAGATTGTGAAAAGCTGCAGAGGGACATAGACAGAGTCGTTAGTTGGAGCAAGCAGAATCGGTTGCAGTTTAACGTGTCGAAGTGTGTGACTATCTCTTTCTCACGTGCACGCACACCTATCCAACACAAGTACACGATGGAGGGGACTGAGATGACCAGGGTAACTGAAGTGAGGGATTTGGGAGTGCGTTTTACCACTGAGCTAGCGTTTCGTGATCACGTACTCAAAGTCTGTAAAAAAGCTTATAGGAACTTGGGGTTGGTACTTCGTATGGCTAAAGATTTTACCAATATAAAAGCTGTTACAGCATTATATAATGCTTTAGTTAGGAGCCAACTGGAGTGTAATGCAGTTATCTGGGCTCCACATGAGACTAAATATAGTCTCATGTTGGAGCGGGTGCAAAATAAATTTATTAGATTTATTTACATGAAGTTGTACGGAGTCTATCCTTTTTATCCGTTAATGTATCCTACCCTGTTTATATTAGGTATGGTTGGATATAATGAACTGAGGGTCAGGAGGGAACTCACACTCGTAACCTATATCTTTAATGTGATTAGAGGGGGAATACATAATGCAGATGTATTAGAGAGGGTGGGTCTGTGTGTCCCAGACGGCTACGCGGGACGTCGGCGGCGACCGCGCCTTCTGGCGGTGCCGCGCGCACGCACTAACTTACTACGCGAGGCACCTTTGACGCGCGCGCTGCGCACACTCAACCTCATAGCTGACGATGTGGATATATTTTGTTGTTCTCTGAGTGAATTTACAATTATAGCACTAAGTAAAATTTGTTGATTTAGTTTGTAATTTGGTTTAGTTTGGCTTAAGTTTATTATTAATGTATCTACAATATCGCCTTGGAATACTACTGTAAAGATATTGTAAGAAAAAATAAAATAAATAAATAAAAATAAATAAATAAATAAACGTATTTAATAGTTTCGTTTATAAAATATTATTTTTTGTGACATTTAAAAGTTAAAAATGGTTACTGTGGGTTATCCTTAGGAGATAGACATATACCATAGTTGACTTTTTTGTAGATCTCTTCAAGATATACAAAGCCGTATTATTTTGGTCTATCTCGTAAGGATTAGCCAGCGTTTGTAATGTAAGCGCGCATCGTAAAAAACATGTTTTTAAGACAAATCCTTAAAATTTTCGGATTTTCTTTACCATAATATGCATGTTTTATACACATAAACTTTCCTCTTGAATCACTCTCTCTTTGGTGAAACTGCATTTAAATCCGTTTTTTAGTTTAAAAGAACACAAAAAAAAGCGTTTTTATTTCAAACTATGTAAAGATCGTCATCGATTCCTGACAAGTATATATTAGTAAAATAGATAAACATCGAGTTCAAAGATAGCGTTACATTAACAAATATACGTACTCGTACCTACATACACACTAGTTACTGCGTGTTAAAACATTACATTTTAAATAACAAACAATTGCAACAGAAAAAATGTCTTCAAATAATGTTTTTTTGTTTTTATAAATAAATGACAGAACTTGACACCTATTGAGATCTCGGTTCTCTTGTTTACTCGTAGGTGACTCGGCAACTGACTTGCTCCACTTTATAGTTTTGAATACATATCGTTACTATTTATAAAGAAACTATTGTCATTAGAGATCAGTCTTACAAATAATTTTATAGTGATCTATAAAATGTATGTTATCTGCTTCGTTTACGTTTTAGTATAATATACATACACGTACTAGAAATGGAGGTTTCCGAACCGATCACCCGAGTTGTCCAACTGGTTGGTCAGTTAGGAATATTTATTCCTAACTGACCAACTTCTGCATCTGGTTGGTCAGTTAGTAACAAAAGATATTATTATATTCAATACCTATAAAATATAAAAAAAAAAAACAAAGTTTCATTTTATATATTTGTTTTAGACAGAGGCGCAGTGAACGCTCACATTGTGCTCACTTAGTCGAACTTACGTAAGACGGGCTGAGTCTATGGCCGTGAACCGGCCACATGTATTTCTTTTCAATAAAATTCTCACATATTTCTAAAAAAAAATATACAAATCAGAGATAATTTACACCCAGATACAAACTAAATGATCGTGCTCATCACATCTTGTTTATAACACAACCTCTAGTCTGGGATTGCTGAATCACTAACCACTAAGCATAATAAACAAATAAGGACCTGTTTCCCCGATTTCCGTTTATGTCATTATCAGGTTCGTAAGCTTTATATCTTTAATCTGGTCTACAAAATACAGTTCAGGGGCCGAATAATCATCGCTGTCTGACACAACTTACCAAAGCCAGTCACCTTTACTGTGTGCTCTGTATGCCAAAGAAAGTATAATGAAGCGTGTTGTCAGTGAGGCTAGACAAGGAGCAGAAGGGTGGTCGATGGGAGCGGACGTTACAAGCTCGTGACAGCGCCATCAGACCGGGCTTAACACATATCGCGGCAGCGCGGGTGAACAAACAACAAATATATTGTACGATAATGACCGCTTATAAGGTCCTGATACGGCATATTGAACCCTATCCTATTGGGTTAAGGCCGCTTCAGAACATCCCTGTAGCTTGGCTAACAACTAAGTAAGTAAATGAGTGCCGTTGACAGTTTATCGCGTCAGCGGGTACGGGGGAAGAGTGGGGGCACGACGCTATAATTTATTTCACTAATCATCGCTAATGATTATCGACGTGATATTCAATTAAGCAGCGGGGCCTAAGGCGCCGGGGGCCGGCCGTATACGCCATTTGCGGGCTATTCAAAAACCTCAATACAGCGATACTATTTTCTAACGGTAATGTCTGAATATTGTGAATGAGGCAGGACTACTGGCAAACCTACTTGTTTAGTAAAGGGAACTGCTTACCTGAGATAAACTGAAGCATAAATCACTCCTCTCAAGGGGTATCGTAAGAAAAACCAGCTTAATGCAAAAATTCATATATTATAATATAACAAACTGTGTCCAAAACAACAAGTCTATAGTTATGTATACGAAACGTCGTCGTCACATAAATACATCGACGTCTTCAGCGGGGGGGTTACTAGCGCCGGCGCCGGGAGGCCCTTCGTCCTCGAACGTCACCATCTTGTCGCGCGCCTTGCTGCCCGCGCCCGCCGACAGAACACCCGGAGCGGCGCGACGGGGGCCGAACGCCGCCAGCTCGTACAGGTCACCAGCGCCACTCAGGTTGAACTCACTGAGGCTGCGCGGCACGAAGTACTCCACGCACCGGTCGGCGTGTCCGGCCGAGCGACGGGCCGGTGCATCACGAGTAAAACTATCATCACCATAGTGCGATGATTTTCGCCGCGGCAGACTGTTAAACTTGGTCGGGTTCGTGCTGTCGATCTTAAAAGTCACTTGCGGCCGTTTGTCGGATACCGAAGGGGGGCCCGTCTCCCCCCCTTCCCGTTGTCAGGACAAGACGGACATGGCGAGCTTATCTTCACGTACTTCCACGCTGTGCACGACGCGCTTGGCTCCGCGCGCACTCCACCCGCGCAACATGCCACTAATTTCTTCCTGAATCAGGTTAAAGCACATAGCGATCACTACGATCCCTACGAGGATATATATACAACACACCCCCACTGCGATGTCCTCCGCCTTGGCAGATATCGTACTCGCGTACAGACCTGGTCTCAACTCTCCGAAGCCGATCGTAGCGAGGCTCGCGAACGAGAAGTAGCAACCGTCAACGACGTTCCACCGCTCCGTGGTGTGGAACACGAAGGTCCCTAGAGCTATGTACAAGACGATAAGTAACAAACTAAGTAGAATGGGCACTCGCGTGTGGTCTCTACACGTCCAATGGTAGCCACTACTGAAACTGTCCAGATTGAGGGCGGCCTGAAACGGTGTCCGTTTGTGTCTATCAAGCTTATATCTTTTGTCACAATCACTGAACTGTTTGAACTCCGGTGGCGGGGCTGGGTATCGGCCCAGGCAGTCTGCGCGCGCATGCCGGTGCACTCTTACTTGACTGCCGGGGCGCACGCGCGAGTACAGAGCACGCGCGCGACGCGCCAGCGCCTCGCCAATGGTAGATAGATACAGCATGATGATGGGGATGCCCACGCACGCGTACGCCACCGCTACAGCTTTTCCCACTGATGATTTTGGGGTGACATTGCCGTGACCTATACAAAAAATTAAAAAATTTTGTCAGGAAATTCATGTATTGAATGAGCAAGACGAGGTCTTAAAACGAAAACGAAAATTTAAAACTTGTCTGACCATAACCCATACCAGGAACAACCATGTGATGTGTAATATAAACTTCATATATAGATAGAATATTCCCATATTCCTCGGCCAATAAGAAATTGTAAAAGTATTACGAGATTCAGGATAAAATTAAAGAGTTATCTGCTTTTGCATCAAAAATACTTTGAGTGTCCAAGTTTCAACATCTGCCATTAAAAATTTAATATAATTGCTAATTAATTCCCTTGTTGAGCACCGTCAGTCGCATTGTTTTGTTTTGTTTTTATTGCATTTTTTCCGAATTATACTTATTTTGGGTACCTATTTTTTAATGTAGTTTTTTCTCCCTTATTTTATGATATTGATGCGTTGCACAAACATATATATATATATATATATATATATAGCTGCAGCTGAAAACCAGCGTTGGAAGGCACCTGTGGCCATCCAACAGTATGCTGAGCTGCAGACCTATTGGCACTTTTTGTAAAGAATTTAGCATGTGACAATAAATTTTCTTTCTTTCTTTTTTTTTCTTTCTAGATATATATATATATATATATATATATATATATATATATCTAGATTTACTACTCCTACCAACCACCCTTGACCAAAGTTTGATATTTGAGTGCTTTCCATTGTAATAAGTTTTTTTTCAATGTGAATTAAGTTTTACCCATAGTTTTTTTCTATAGTACGTTTATCACGTTACTGCAGCTGCTACTAACGTCTGACACAAACAAATATTTTAAATTAAATCAATTGAAACAAACCTACCGATCGTTGTAATTAGCGTAAGTGCATACAAGAAACTGCCGGAGAATGTCCAGCGGTAGTCAGCTTCGTGATGTACGCTGAGGCGTGCTTCAAACATCGCTCCACCGCGCATTGACTTGAGCAGCACCTTTTGAAAGTCCATCAGCTCTTTGGCCGCCAGCTTCGTCCAGTTCTCCTTGTAAAGTATGTTAAGGTCCTCGGTAATAGACCAGAGTCGCTCTACGGTCCGGGAACGAAGCTCATTTCCCTGGGACTGGCTAAGGTTTGGTTTCGAAGCGGCCACAGCGGTCTCTTCGGTAGATACACTGCCCTCCAAGGCGAGGAAAAGGAAGCCACCGAGCAGGTTGTATGTTAGAACCAGGAAACATATCGCGAGACACGTAAGTGGAGAAGCGCGACGTTTATGCGCGCAGCGACAACACCAGGCTCGTGCCTCGGCCCCGGCTTGTTGAGGCCAACAGCAGCGTGCCTCTTCCCCGAGCGGCGCCAGAGGTGCGGAGGGCACGCTCGACGCTCCACAATACGCCAGCGTGGACAGCTCGCGGCTGCCCTCCTCCAACATGATGCCCTACCAGTGACACATGGCGACTGCACTTACGCGCTCACACACGTTTCACCGTACTTTATACTTCTTGTGATGTCTTCTCTCCTTTGTCGTGGACATCCTACTCTCGTACTGTGTCGTGGTGCGCACTCAACAGTTGGCATCTGCAACAACATGTTCACTGCATTAAAAGGTTTACTTTCATATCACAGATTTGCATTTTTTTAAATTTATATTGTGGCAGGCCTTCGTTCAGCAGTGGACGGTGAATGGCTGATGATGATGAATGAATAGTTCCTAATTAATATTTTTTAAAGCAGCGTGTTTCAATGCATCCCTCTATTGCTCTCTATGCATATACAGTACCTACTTAATAACATTGACTCACGTCTAACGGTTTAAGGAGATCGACCAAAATTGGTCTCGAGACCAACTCGGTTGTACATTCTTAAAGCACAATGGCGGGTCTCAATATAAAAAAGTATATTTGGAATTAAATTGCATCGTCTTGTAGTGAAAAAAATAAAATAAAAATCGGCTTTTTTTTAGAATCTATGTGTAAAACAATTTTTGTTTGGGGAATGTTAGGAAAGCATTGCTGCATAATGTTTCCTCTATTTTATCAATTTCATCATCAACATCATCAACAGTCTTTAACAGTCCACTGCTGGACATAGGCCTCTCCTTATAAATTGGCAGTGTTGTTAACCTGCATAGTTTGCTCCCTTAGTCGGCTCTTACGACACTCACGGGATGAATGGGGGTGGTGACAATCAGTATTCTTAATCCGTCACCACACAGATGGTGTTATCAATATATCTATGGCTATCGACTTTCCCAGTTGGTTTTTGTATTGTTTTACATAATTATTTGATAATTATAATTGTATGTATGCCATTTAAATAAAATAAAAAAAGATAATAAAGTATTATTATAGTCCACTAGCTGTAGAACGTTCGTAGGTTATATTTTTATGTCACTGTTAATGTGTCTGATGCATGAAATAATTATGTTATATTTATGTACATCTGCATTTATAATATCCGATAAGTATTTATTTTGTTCTTTTCCTTCCATCCTTCCTTTTCCTTAATTTATTTTCTATTTCAACATGTAATGAATCGTAAATTCTAAACCTAAACCAATATAATCGTCTGTCGCGTCAGACGTTAAGTCTCTTTATATTTAAACACGGACCGCAAAGGTCTGTCAAAAGTTGTCAATTTATTTTTTCTTTTTTTCAGCTTACAGTTACCACTTCTTTTTTATTGCTCTATATTCTACTACAGGTTTTTCAAATACGTTAATAATGCGTTTAATAATGAACCGCAAACTACATTCTTTATTGATTCAGTAATTACAATTATAAAACTAGTATCTGATTACCATATTACTATTAAGTGATTATCATATTACGACACTTTATTGGACATTATTTCCACTACTTCATAAAAATGGCTGTAAAATGGTAAAACTAAACTGATAAAGGAAATTAAAATAAACAAATAAGTTTATAATATTTTTCTTTATTTTCCGGGGATTTTACTGACTGACTGACGATAGTTTCAAATAACATAGATATTTACTAGAATTAGTTTTGTCTGAATTACATTTTACGATGCTCAAATTATACTTAAGTACGCATTCGCCATTGTTCTTTTATAAATTATAATACGGGTAATATTAAGAGTATAATACGAAAAAATCGGCATCGTGACTAGCAGGTAAGGCTGAAATAGGATTTTAACGTTATATCTAAATTAATCATAGATTACGCGTTATCATTGATCGATTGTTTTATTTTTATTAAAAAAAAATAAACAACTAAATCTTAATGATTAAAATAAGTTAGTATTTTTAAAGAAGACAAATAGTTGTGACAAATATTTATTTATACGACTAAATAACTGTAAGCAACACATTCCAAGCAGTGTTTTCGATACATTATTCTTTTTGTTTCCTTTGCCTTTGTCAATGACAAATTGATTGACAACCGTCTCTGTCGGTTAGTGTCACTTGCGTCAGTGTCACTTGCGTCAGTGTCACTTGCGGATGCTCCTTGAAACCAACGGTTTGTGTTCCTCAGACTTATGCGACTTATTATGTTACTTGTTTCTCCTTGATGAATAAAGTAAATGTTTTTGTCTGAAATCAATACCACAACCCATATTTTTTAATGAATTTTAGGGTTTAATTTAAACAATCAAACCAAGTATCTTTATAATCCTACTTATATTCAACTCAAATAAAAACCATAATATAATACTACTGTAATAGGCAAATGACAAAAAAATTATACCTGTACAAAGAACTTTTTATATTTGGAGTTATTTGGCGCGTAGGTACTATAGACGAATTATGCCTAAAGCCACATCACACACAGATTGAGACAGGTCACAGATTGAGGGGCCGCATTTCTTTCAGGTTCATATTTTCATTTAATAATAATGTATTAGGCACACAAACAGTTTTATGTATATTATGCGTCCAATGATGTACATAGGCAACGTAGTCATGCATGTTATGAGAAATACAACTTCAGTAAATTTTAGAATCGACTTTTGTTATAAATGGTGAATATTGAAAAAGTGTAAGAGCATAATTTTTGTAAATAATTGCATTATCTACATTTTTTTTTAAATGTGAGAACATTAGTCGACGCGACATTGTTGTCCTAGGCTAATGTTTAGAAATATAGACTTGATTTGTTGTTGGAGGGCAAATGCGACTTTACGATGGCCTTCAAGCTCACAGCCATTAGAAAAATAGATACGACTTTGACAGCCTACACAGCCGGTACGTGTGGAGTCAGCTAGAAGTGTTTAGTCTTGTCTTAAGCAGAGGACATTTCCTTCTTACGTGCCGGAAGTGAATGGTATATCGGCTCCCTGGACACCTGAGGACCAATTCTCGTAATAAAAGTTCGATGACAATTCAGTTCCGATCAACTTTCGATCTCACAACTGTCGTTTAAGGTTATTTCGTAGTAAAATATTAAAGTATTACTAAGAATAGCCGATTACCGATTCAATTTTCGGTTACAATACGATATGATCACATTATAGTCAACTTTGGATATTTAATAATTTACTACCAAAATACCTTTTATGACAGTTGTGAGATCGAAAGTTGATAGGAAATAAATTGAGACGAAACTTTTATTATTAGAATTGGCCTTCCGTGAGGCACTTGTACGTGAATTTATTTAGCGATACACTAAGTTGATAGTCAAAGACAACATTTTACCACCTTATCTAAATAAAGTATCGAACTTTATAAAGTACTGCCTACCTACCTAACCTAATCCAATTGATAATCTAACACACTACAGTTAGGTGACATTTATTATAGTTAGTAGTGTTTAAAATAGGTCCTTATCTATTCAGTGAAGAAATGGCACCAAGTAGTATTTACATAATTATTTTTGTTTGTTTTAAAAGGACGAACTTTAATGCCAAACAGTTTATATCAGTGTGACGCGAGAGTAATGTTCACAGCCCTGACCTACGTTTAAAGAACTTTATTATATATTCAAGAACATTATAGTCCACTTAGTGAGACTGAGTGATAATATAAAAATAAACAAAGTAATAACAAGGAACAGCGATTGTAGGTTTCTAAATCAATGATTCAAAAAAGTTAAGAAAAGAGATTGCATTGTCTTATGTACTCACACGTAATTACATTTTGTACATATTATATTTGTAGGGAGTCCGTTATGGTTAATCACTACAGTAAGCATTAGATTGCACCATACAAGTCAACAATATGTATACCCTCAGTAATAACCTCAGTAAGTTGAACAGAGACATAAAACAATAACAAAAGTTTCTCTTAAAATAGCTTCATAGGGGCTTTCTGAAAATACTTAAATAATGTTAAATACATTAGTATTTGTGACAGACAGTGGTATTTGTGACACTTCTGCTAGACGCGTTATGTGAACTATGTACTTACTTGTTTACAACTATATACTTACCACCACCTATTCTCTCAATAACGGGTAGACCTAGCAAGTTGAAATTTATTTTATTTTTTATTTTCAGTGCTCTTTGTCAGTATTATTTGAAGTCAGTTCAAGTTTTTTTAAAGGATTTATTTTACCATTTTTAGTGAAAGATATGTTTGTAATGAGTAGATAAGTACGAAATTTAAAACACTACGTACCCTAATATTATATTACCAAACTGTAGTATGTTAGATTATATTAAATATAGTTTAATAAGTGTGTTACTTTATTTAGAGAAGGTAGTAAGATGTTATATTTGGACTCGAAAATACATTGTTTTCCAAAACTAGGGGTGGTATTTTTTCTCTTCCAAATAAAAAAAGAATTTGCCAAATCGGTTTACAAACGAAAGAGTTTTAAGGTAACAAACATGAAAATAATTGCGTAACAAACATTTTTTTATCTAAATGTTTTGTAATCTACTTCATTACTCCTTTATTACATATAACCCAACACAAATACCTAACAAATACCTTGAAATAATAACACAAGGTCAATACATGATTAGATTTTTGAAAGAGTTATTTTATAACTCCTAAAGATCAAGGATCCTTCCATCATCAGCTCAGCAATATGACATAATGACTACTAAACACAAATACCTATAAAGCTAGAAAAATAAGCTAAAACATAACCACCATAACCACCTCTTTTTTGTTTTTGTAGTCGGTTAATAATAGAAGTTTATAATAAATTACCATTTGACACTAAAAACGAGACTAAATTTAATACTTTTGTTAAAAAATTAAAGTTATTCCTAACAAGCAAGTATTTCTACAGGGTAAAAGAGTATTTGGAAGATAAATAAAATACTTTGAAATAATAAATTCTATAATTGCGACTGCACGGATGGCGTAGTGGTTTAAGCGGTCGCCACGCCGCTTCCTACTACGCCGAGTGTTGTGGATTCAAACGCCACATGGGACGACACTTTGTGTGATCCACAAATTGTTGTTCCGAGTCTGGGTGTTCTTTGTGTCCGTTACATGTATGTTTGTAAAGTCCCCCGCGACACAGGATATTTTCCTAATGCGGAGTTGTCTTTTTAAAAGAAAAAAAAAATGTTATAACCAGATTAGACAAAATAAAAAATTTAGAAGGATGAAATAATAGTTAGTATAGTCTTTTCTTCCATTTTCTAATAATATAATATATTTCGTAAAATATGTCGTTATATGTCGTTTCGTAAAATATGTCGTAAATGTCGTTCAATAAAAATAACAACCTAATAATTATGCAATTTTCTAAAAAAATCACATGAATCATTTTACTTTGAGCGCCTATCAAACAAACACTGAATAATTTAAAATTTAAAATACAATTATTATTTTTTGAAATTACTTACTAATTAATCGTAAAGTCATAAATGAACTTCCGTTTAGACGGCAGCTGACAGTTTAGAGGGTAAATATTTTGTTTTAACTAAATACAACTAACTAAGTACAGTTCAGTCACTGTCACCGTACAGCTCAGTCATAGTAACTAAATACAGTTACCACCTTAGAAAAAACCGACTTTCAATTTTTCTGTAGAAATCGGCAATTTCATACTTACTCTCTACTATAAAATATAAAATAAAAAATCGTTACTGCAGATTAGACTTATTTGAAATAGAAAAAAAGTCTCAAAGTAATTTTCACACTGAAATGGGTGTTCTCTTTTATTTAAAGTTTTTTTTTAAATGATCATCTTGTCCTGACGATCAAATGGCAAAATTATTTTCAAGTCTACTCTACCTTTCTTTTACTTGTCCATTTGTTTACGAGTATAAACTTTTTATAAACAAATTACGTATTTTTTTCCTACTTTAATTAATGTCATTGCTAGATACAAAAACAGCTGTATAATATAGCTGTATATTTCTCAAAAAAGAAAAATCATTTTTGAATATAAACTTTTTGTTTATTAAAATAAATGATAACTAACAAAATATAAAACTTTAATAAACTTTTATCACGTCATCTTATTAAGTATGTACATAAATAAGAAGGGCTCCATGAAGCAAATCTTTATAGGTCTATTACTTTACAATAACTTTTATGTCGACTTTTGTAAGAACAGTGATTGGATAAAGATTAGTTCATAAACAATCTTTTGAAATCATAAACAATTTTTTAAAAATCGTCATTTTTTTGCTGAGGCTTTATTCTTACAATTGTTGTAATGACGTAAAAAAATCTTAAATTTTTAAGTTAATATTTAAAACTATAAAAAAATATTGTATGTGATGGTACGGCGTCGAATAAAAATTATAAATATGCAGATAGAATTCCTGGAGTCTAGAATTTTTTATTGAAATTTTCCTCCTCTTTAAAGATCTCTTTTCAAAAATTGTATCGAAAAGCGCACAGTAGTGGAGCGCCAATTATCCAGGTGACGGGCATGAAAATTTTGGAACGATGGCGGAAAGTTGCGGCCAGTATTAGTCCGAACAATTCCCCGGAGCACTCTCCATGATATATACGATAGAGAGTACAGAGTGAAGCCATATCTTTTCCTTTTTGTTAATAACAATTGCAATTTTTTATGTGCTAATGAATGCCCTCGATGCCTTTTTCCAGACATCATCCCGAATCGAATGAGCTATCGCACATATTTTTAGGACCGGGAACAAGCATTATCCGGTTTTTAACTTGCTGACTGGATTATAAATGTGATAGCGGAGCCAATTACAACGTTACGTATACTCGTATGTCGTCTTCATCCTACAAACAATTGAGACCTAAATCTGTGGATGAACCTGAAAGAACAATGCCAGAAACACATTTACCTTCTTTAAAGAACTCATTTGACCTAAGTACGTAATGTCTGACAATACGCCATCACGTATTCCTGACTACGAATACGAGGGATACGCAATGACATTATTATAAATATTGATAAATATTGTTTTATTTCGTTCCAACTGTAATAATGTCAATCGATCAATAATAGCCTGCCGTTGGAGTCTACCGCTGGACTTTCCTCAAAGTACTTTAGCCTACTAGTAGTATGCGGGCCTGGCGGCTTGTTGGTGTACATATGTAGTTTGCAGTGTTTCTTCTCTCGCATTGATCGTGTCTGCATATGTGTATAGCAAATGTCATTGACAATAATATTATGTAAGTAGTATTAGTAGCTACTCTCGAAACATTCAAAATCTAATATCTTTTTTCCTAGACACCTTTTGCTAGTAATTTTGTTAGGAGGATGGTATAGAATGATTTCTCAGTCTCGTTTTAGGCATTATTGATTTATTGAATTATGTACAAATTTCTTAAATAGATTTAAATCATAATTTATATATTATTTCTGCTACAATAATGTGACTAAAGTTGAACAGTTGAATCATTACGTGGCTTTTTTTTAAACTCATAACTCCCGCACTAGGAATATGTGTTGTGTCGCGGTGGACTTTAAATTCATTAATGGAACAACACAGAGTAGACTCAAAACTACCCTTTGGGGATCTCACAAAGTGTTGTGAACTACAATTTGTGGATCTCACAAAGTGGTGGGGATCGAACCCGCAACACTCAGCGCGTAGGAAGAATAGGAAGCGGCAAGGTAATTGATTAAACTTGTATGCCACCCGTATAGTTGAAGCGCATCAAAGCTTTAAATTGAACTAAAAGAAAGCCAATTCTTTAATAAAAGTTCGGTTACCATTCATTTCCGATCAACTCTCGATCTCACAACTGACATAAAAGATATTTACTTATTTTAAACATCGAACGTTAACTGTAATGTAATTACATCGTGTTGTAAGGGAAAATTGAATGGGTAATCTGCAAGTTGTCCGTGTAGTGACGGATTAAGAATACGGAATGTCACTACCCCAATTCATCCCGTGGGTGTCATAAGAGCCGACTAAGGGCGCAAAACAACGCAGGACACCAGCACTGCAAAAAGAAGGAAAACTTGACACAAACCCTATGCCAACCCGTCAGTCCAGCGTGGTATAGTAGGCCAAAACCTTCTTTCTAAGGAGAGGCCTATGTCCAGCAGTGGACTATTAAAGGCTGTTGATGATGATGATGTGAATCTGCAAGTGTTAGTAACACTTAAATATTTTACTACGAAAATACCTTTTATGACAGTTGCGAAATAGAGTTTTATTACCAGAATATTGGCCTTCAGAAAACCAAATTTTATAAAAACTTAAATTTAATACGCTTTTGTTAACCGCTTCGGGGATAAGAGGCGTGACTGGATTTACAAATGTAGTTGAGATATGTGGAACTTTAACTACAAAAATAGTAACTGGCGTGAAACATAAAAGTATAAGTCGATTAGCCAAGATACCTTGTTTGTGTAAAGCAGACATTGCAGTGGGTAGGTAGACAATTTGAAAATTTGTGTTTTAAATGAGTAGTTAGCTTGTTGTAGGTACTAGAGGTTGGTCCCATTCAAATATTAAGAAATATTTCACTTTCAATTAACAGTTAGGTACCGTTAACTTGCGAAATTTAAAACTTTAAAGTTTTCTAAGATTATATATGATTTGTAACTTAACGATGGAAACCGAACCCGACTACCACTAAGTCAATTAACAAAACCGCGGGGTGATACCCGACGGGTTAGGTTAGGTCAAGATTATCACCTGTTTGACCCTCAACATATATTATGTACGTATATACATATGTATGTAACGTAATCTTCCAACGTGACTTTCACCCTCTTCAAAACGTCGGAAAGAATTGAAACGGCATCGCAAACTCAAATCAAGGACGGATGACAATACAATAATTTTATAAGTTTGTCCGATTATCCTGAACAAAATCTTCAGAATTGCTCCGTATCTATTCTGTGTAAAACGAATGTTTCCGTATCTGATACCACGGTAGTGTCTTGTGCCACGTACCTACTAAGGCGTGTACTCAAATATACGGGACTTACTTAATTGTTACTTTTTTAGTCTTTAATAAAGAATAATTTATCATTAAAGACTAAAAACCTAAAGTAAATAATAGTTTACAAAAAAACGCCTTTGTAACTAGATCGCTCAAAAGTAGAAAAAAAAATTATACTTTTCAGTTAAGTTAAACAAAATGAGTAAATTAAGAAAATAATATATCCCAAAATTGCGTAGGGTGCTTTTTAAGATATTTTGTATTATAATGACTGACTTAACTTTTACCAATATCTGTCAATAAAATACTTACAACAATGATACATATCTAGTGCCTACCAGACGCTTTTTTACGATAAAATGCTTCTTTTCTTAATAATTCATACATTTTTTTTGAGATAGAACTTTATTTTCACCACTTTAGTTCGGCTAGTTACCTAAAAAAGCGTGTGTCTTTAGTTTGTTTAACGTATTAGTTATACTTCGCTTTTAGCCAAATTTCATCATTTTAGATCCATGGGAAGGGATGGTTAAAATATAAGGCTAAGTGAATAAGGAGTTTTATGCATATAAAGGTAACAAGACTCAATAGTATCGCGTGTTGAACCTAATTAGAAGATGCTTACATGATAGTGTTGATGCCGGTGCAGTGCGGAGTGGCGCCACTCAGCGCAACAACAGCGCTCGTCACCACCCGCTCTCTGGTTCTGTGCTCCGCGAGCAGATTGCTGAGTCGCCTCCTGGCCACCGTTACCGGTACCTCAATGCCCACAAGACATCGTGAACAGCCGCACCATTTTACAACTACCATCAACTGGTCACACGCGCACGACCTTTAAACACAGTTCGTTAATAATTGTATACAATTTAATTTAAATATTCATACAGTAGTTAATAAAGTGACAAGAAACAAAGTTGCGTCCGTAGACACACGATGCTAACGAATCGTGAGTTTTCGTCATGTGGCAGAGAAACAAAGACGACACGCGACACGACGGCGAGTGGCGCGCTCTGACTGATGACACGACTCCTCTACAGCCGCGAGCCGAACAACGTGCGCGCGCACGCTCGCACGGCTTGACGCGCTCGCAGCTAAGCGATGCGACTGCACCGTGCCGGGTGCGTTGCGGCTCCACCGGCACGAGCGCTACGGCTATGGTGTTCTAGACAAGCCGAGTTCAAGAAAAAGGAAAGGCAACGCAGGAGCCGTCTGTTGGATACGAACCATTGGAGGCTACTTTTTACCTGTTAATAACTCTAAACCGATAGCACAAGGATTGCAGTGCTTGTTAAATAAAAGTAATATTTTAAATGTTTCACCCCAATAGTATATTGTTCAGTTCCACAATAAGTTCTTAAACGCTAGAAATGTTATTTAAAATGTTGCAATGAATACACCCGAATGTCGCGGTCACCCAAAGCGCCTCTGTACACGTTTGTTCTAAAACAGGTAAACGTGTGACTCGCTTATTGCTTACTACGGTGTTCGGTTATATTACACCGTTACAACACCATTATAACACTTTAACTTCTTAAAATCACCATTTTTATCACTAACTGACTCTTACATACGAGTAGGAACTAACCACTTTCAGATAATCCAGAAAATTGAAATTTGGTATCCAGTCGGCAGTTGTGAAATCAGAAGACTGTATTTTCAAGATTTTAAATATTTGCCAAACAAATGGTTTTTATTCACTTTCATCATCATCATCATCAACAGCCTTTAATAGTCCACTGCTGGACATAGGCCTCTCCTTAGAAAGGAGGTTTCTAAGGAGAGGCCTATGTCCAGCAGTGGACTGCCAAACAAATGGTTTTATTCACTTTAGAGCTAGAATTATGTAAAGTCCTTACGGTACCCAGTGTGCGACTCAGACATGCACTTGTCCAACTTTTATAGCTTATATAGGATCGAGGCACAGAAGTAAAAAGTAAACTAATTATTTTTTACCAAAAGTTGAACCGATGAAAAGATGTTAAAAAGTGAAAACAACTACAAACTTAATTTAAAAAGTTATAACTACATTTAAAAAAATTGACCTAACACTATGATAATAATAATAGGAACTAGGTAAGATCTATCTACAAAGACGATCCGAAGAAACGGCACATGGCGACATTAGTCCATTCACTTACTTTACGAAAATAAATTTTTTTAGACATAATTTTAGATACGTATCTAGATATAGTCGTGTCTATTTGTAATAATCAACATTGTAAATTCATTGGAGATTATAATTTAATCGATTGAACTATTGTTGCGTAGCTCCGTAGTTAGTAAGTGAGGAATTATGAGTCTGTGTTTTTTCGAGTCTACCTCTGACTTTTATAATACCCTTGTTAACAAGATAGGGGCAGAGTGATTTTGGTGAACTTGATTTCTTTTGTATATATAGCTGTTCTCTTGTAATTGTTTGTACTCTATTGTAAAATACTTCTATCTGTGTTAATCGTATACAACATTCAAGTGCGCTTCCAACTTTGTATTTTGTAAATAGTTTTTATAAAATTGTTTGTTTTCCTTTAGGAATCTTTGACGGAATGCCAGAACCCTTACTAGTTTAATTAGTGTAGAATACTTTTCAAACAGTGAATCCGGAATAACTGACTGTGTAAGTGTTTTCTTGGAGTTAATTACCTCTTCGATTTCCCAAAACTTTCTCAAACATTCATCTTCCTTTACCTGAGCATGAGCATGAGCGGGTATCGCACGATTTCCTACGAGGCGGCTTCCCCGCCCTGGGACCTGGAGGCGAAAGTACTCGCGTCATTATACCGATGGCGCGAGGAAGAGCGGGCACGTGGCCCGAGGCCGGTGCAGCGGCAGATCGCGCTGTTCCGAGAGGAGCTCCGTCAGGTCTTGGTGGCGGAATGGCGGCAAAGGCTTCTGCGCCCTACCGTCGGCCTCGCTACCGTCGAGGCGATCCGGCCAGTACTCGACGACTGGCTCGGGAGAAGGCACGGCTCCCTGTCGTTTAGGGTGACGCAGGTGCTGTCGGGGCACGGCTGCTTCGGCAAGTACCTAGACAGGGAGTCGGACGCTCGGTACCACCACTGCGTCAATTGCGGGGATTACACGGCGCAACACACGCTCGCCGAGTGTGTAGCTTGGGAGGAGCAGCGCCGTGTCCTCACAAATGAAGTAGGAGGCGATCTGTCGCTGCCGGCCGTAGTGCGGAGGATGGTCGGTAGCGCAGAGTCGTGGGACGCGGTGGTGTCCTTCTGCGAGGACGTGATGTCGCAGAAGGAAACTGCGGAACGGGAGAGGGAGGCCTCGACTCCTTTTCCCAGCCGCAGAAGGCGCACCGGGCGCAGGAGAAGGGCGGACAACGCACTTTTCCGGCCCCCATGAATGGGTCCAGGGGCGAGAGACTTGGGGAAGTCCCCGCCCCCTATTCGATGGACCGCATGGCGGAGGCGCGCGCGGGTGTCGGCGCGTGCCTCTGAGGCGATGCCCGGGGTAGTTAAACACCTCACTACCCCGTGCAGGAGACGAGGCCCGGACAGACCGGGCCAGCACTAGTGTGGGGCTGCGGATGAATTTGGATTCCCGCGGCCCCGCGCGCATGTGCGAGGGGACACCGGGGTGGTTTTAGCCGGTAAGAGTCCGGCACGCCCCTCCGCCTTTCCCCAGGCGGAGGTAGTCCATGAGGATTTCCCCCCGTAAAAAAAAAAACAAAAAAGGTTAGGTTAGGTTAGGTTAGATTTTTTTGTTTTTTATTTTTTTTTAATTTTAACTGTCAACCTCTTGCATGACAAGAGTCTTTGGTTTGCTCTGTTTCTTTTATTACGTCTTGTTTTTATTTACTGGTTTCTGGTTATTGTGATTTTGCAAATTTTTATAGCGAATTCTAAAAATTGCGGCCTTATGTCCTTTGTCTCCAGTAGATGGTGTGCCTCTTTCTTCTCGATTTTCACTCCAAGGCGTTGCTCAGCTTCGTGTCGTTTAGCCCCGAAGACGGGGCAGTCAAATATAATGTGTAGGACGTCTTCGTCCTGTGCTGGGTCGCAGATACATGACGGGCTCTCCCGACGCCTGAAGCGATGCAGGTATTGGGAGAAACCCCCCATGTCCCGTTAGTATCTGCGTAGCAACGCCTTGGGGCCGGATCTTCCGCACCAGGCAGTACGCATTTCTCGCGTCTGGGAAGAACACTCTCGTGACGGAGGCCGTGTGGCCCGACTGGTATCTCCGGTTCCATTCGTCGAGCGAATCGCTGCGTATCTGTCGCTTGACGAATGAAACCGGGCACAGGTCGTAGTCGGGCTTCCTCCGACTCGAGAGTGCCGCCTCCTTTGCCAACTGGTCGGCGCGCTCGTTACCGTCGATGCCGGCGTGGGCCTTGATCCAGAACAAAGTTACATCTTTGCCCTGAGTCAAGGCCTCGCTGAGGTTTCTAATGCAGGGTTCCGGGGTTCGTCACCGTCTCCAGCGCCGCCCTCGAGTCGCTGTAGATGCCGCAGCTCCCCGCACTGCACCTGAGGATTTCGCTCGAGGCTCTGCGAATGGCCAAGAGCTCGGCCTGGTAGACTGTGCAGTACGCTGGCAAGCCCAGTTTTCGGCTCCGCACTTCGGCCCGGCTGTCCCATATGGACAGCGCGGCGCCGACCTTGCCATGGAGCTTGCTACCATCTGTGAAGATACGTAGCGACTGCACGTTGTGTTGCTCTACCAGGCTTTGGTCCTCCAGACTCTGGAACCTCAAGTCCATACGCTGGGCCGGATGTGGTAGTTCCGCAAATCGCACCACACGTTCTACCTCCCGGTCCCCCAGCACTAGCCGAGTCGACCCTTTGCGCGCTTCGTAGAGAGCGGCTGCTTCTATTATACGAAGGTCCAGAGGTAGTAACCCGGCCAGTAGTAGGGCCGAGTTTAGGGAGACAGTGCGGTACGATTTGCAGATCTTCTGAGCGAATCCTCTTTGCACAGTGTCGAGGAGCTTGCGGACACCCAGCTTCTCAACGGCGGGAGCATATGCGGCTGCCGCATACGTGATGACCGGTTCTACTGTTGCGGTGTATATGATGCGTACGACCTCCGGGTGCAGCCCCCAGCTTATTTTCGCCGTTCTCGAGAGCTGTTTGTAAATATTTAGGGCCTTCCTACAGACGACGCCGACATGGGTGTTAAACGTCAGCTTGTCGTCTATAGTTAGCCCCAAAATCTTCAGTTCTCGGGACATGCCAATGTCGACCCCGCCCATGCTCAGGAGCGGGGTGTCATGCTTGAGCTTGTTGGTCAGCAGCATGGCGCAGGTCTTATGTGGCGCAAATTTTAATTTGTTTTTGACGCCCCACCCCTGAACAAAGTCTAGGGCGGCATTGGCATGTCGCTGCACCTCTAACGCAGTATACTCCGCGAACAGCAGAACCACGTCATCCGCAAACGCTTGGCAGGTGACGCCCCGTTCGTGCAGACCCTTCAGGAGCGGGTCTAGGAGGATATTCCATAGGATAGGTCCGCTTATGGACCCTTGGACGCAGCCCTTTTGGGTTTCTCGGCGATGTTCCGCCCCGGCGTACCTCAGCTTCACACATCTGTCGCCTAGGTAGCTGTCCAGCAGACGCCTGATATTGACCGGGCAACCTTCCTCAGCCAGTCGGACCTTGATGGCGGGCCACCATGCACTGTCGAAGGCGCCCTCTATATCCAGTGAGACTAGCGTGACCAACTTCTTCAGCTTGATTTCTGCTTTAATTTGGTTCACTAGAGTATAGAGGGCGTCCTCGGTGCTCCTCTGGGGCATGAAGCCATACTGGCGAGTACTGAGCCTCGGTACCAGGTGCCACTGGAGTCTTGCAACTACCATTTTCTCCAGGACTTTTCCCAATACAGGCAACAGACCGATTGGCCTGTATGACTTGGCGCTCTGATAGTCCTCCTTGCCCGGCTTCCTCAACACCACGACTGTGGCCTCCTTCCACTTTTTGGGGAAGTGCCCCAGGGTGAGGCACTTATTGGCCAGGGCAAGGAAGGTATCAGGGTCCCGGAGAATGGCCTGACGACAGATGTCCGCCGTGAAGCCATCTGCACCTGGCACCTTCTTCGGGTTGAAGCTGGACACCGCGGTCATCATCTCGCGCGTTGTAAACGGCGGGTCATGCACCTCATCATGGACCCGGTCGTTTACCCGCTGTGCGAGATCCCGGGTGTCCGTATGGTG